TCTGTTCAACTCAGGTCAAAAAAACAGTCTATAAAGTTTTTGAAATTACTAAAGCAACTTCATGGAGCTAGTAACCTCCATTTAACCATTTTGTCACACCAATCATATTCGCTAAAGTTAATTTATAGCATCTATACAAGACTGTGTCTCACAGTAGTGTAATTAAATTCATAGAAGCTTGTCATAGTTTTAACTTTGTAGCTGGGTGTAGCATTCAATAAATAATACCAATCTCATACCACAAATTGACTCTAATGTAAACAGATACAAGAATCAAGCCTGTTCAGAAAAGACCATTAGCCATATAATGGAAACAAAAACTGAGTTAGTATTGCTTAGCTAATCAGCACATGTTTTATTATCCCATTCCTTTTTTCTCCAAGTTGTAAGAGACCAAGTCAGAGGTTAAGTTACCAAGTTCAGATTAATTTTTCTTCAAAAACTAAAGCTTCAGCTCTGAAGGGCTGTGGAGAACCATCCCATACCTCATAGCCTGGGGGAGGCTGAGCATCCTCTGCAGGCAGCAATGGGTAGTGCTGAGGTTCTCAGCATCTGACAGCAGCAGTGGAATGCTACTGGCAATATTGCTCTCTGAGAATCAATTAGACAAGAAATATTGGCAATTAGTAACACAAACCCTGTGATATTGCTATAATTGGTTTGCAATATATTAACATCGGTACATTCACAGTTCCTTCATTAAAAGTGGCTGTGAAATACATCTATTTTACATCAGAACTGTAGCGGTGGCACGTTTTTCCACCCATCTCAAACTCTCTGGGCTGAGGAGGATATCCCTCAAATGTCCTTCATTTTAACTCCTCACAGGACTCCTTTCATTGTACTGGGGTAATGTAGCTTTTTAGCTTCCTAGGATCAGGCAGGTATTCCTTTAGGCTCATATTTGATTACTGAGCCTGTGAACACTTCAGGGCATGCAATATCCATTGCTATAGCACAATGGTTTTCTCACTTGTGCTGAAGCTGCTGAGTGCTCCTGCAATAGGAAAAAGATTATATTTTTCCAGTTTCCTAATCATCTGATATTGCATTCTGGTATCAAAACTCCCCTGAAGTAATTGTTCATCTTTCTGATCCCTAATTGCATTTATCAACTCACTATGAAACCTATTGCTACCTGGAGCTTTGTCTTTCTTTATCCGAATATTTTCTCACAGCTATTTTCATAATCTGCAAAAGCACCTACAAAGTATATCCTTACAGGAGGCCCTGTTAGTATTCTTCTTAACAAATGAAGAGAAAAAAAGTCATTGAGTTTTTATGTTACATTCAAAACTACTGTTAATATGAAAGAATGTTTTTTTCAGCATACAAATCCCATGCGGCACTATAGTTTGTGAGATAGAAATTGTTTCTGTATTATTAAGTTCATGCTGTTTTGAACTACAGAATCACTTCAGTAATATTTTTCTTGGAAAATCAATTATATATGAAATTGTGTAGCAATTTAGTAACATAAACCCAGGTAATAATATAATTAAATATTTGCTGCATGAGGTATTTTGTATGCATCTTAATTATGTACCTTTGCTTGCTGACTTGTGTCATGTTTATAACCTTTGGGTAGGTTTACCATCAAGTGGATAGGAAAATAATCAAAACTGAAAACACAGTTAGACTTTAGTTGTAATTTGAAAAATGATTGGTATTTAGACATTTGTTGCCAGTGGCATTGTGAATTGAGGAAACAGAAAAAGTATTCCTCAGCATGTAAATTTTACATAATAATGTGAGCAATAAGACTGTAAGCATCCAAGTAACTATGTTTTAAGTATTTTGGGCCAGATTGGTCTAAGTGTTGTAAATATTTTGACTGTGGCAGAGTCAAATTCTTCATAATATTTCTTTGGTGTGAGTCAGCTCTGAATTAGATCCTTTGCTTTATTGTTCATTTTAGTGAAAAAGACTTTGGGAAATATTCTTCCTAGATAACGTACAATAGTAGACATGTACAGCTAGTGATTCCATTTTTCTTCTTTTATCAGAAATAATTTCTTCAGTTTTTAAACCAGGAAGATCATCTTCATACATCTTGGGCTAGCTGTTTTATTAGGAGCTGTAGATGATGAAATCACCACAGTCATTTTCAGCATCACTGAAGTAAATGAGACAAGACTTAGCCAGCTAGCCAAGTGAAGATCTCAGGCTTATATATCAATATTTGTCAAAGTATTTACAGACTTTTGGAGTCTTTAATTAGCTGTTGTATGTTGAGGATACAGTTCAGTGAAGACAAACACACTGTATTCCCTTCAGTAGTTGGATGAGGTTTACTGCAGTCCTAACTTGAGGATTTGTTCTGTGTTGCAAAACAAATCAAGCGCGCTGTGATTATAGCTCCTCATTAATCACTTTCCGCATTGTTTCCTTACCAGCCTTAACAAATTTTTTTCTCTAAACTTTTAAATTAAGCCTAAAATCCCTCAAGGGGATGTGTCTCCAGTACTCAGTGAGCTTGGGCACTTTTTTAAAGAGGACTGCTTCACTGCTTTTGTCTGATTTTAGGTGGGAACGTTCACCACTGAGTAGGTGTCAAGTTTCCTGTTGTAGTCACTGCTGATCTAACCAAGACCAATCAAGATCAATGGAATTTATTCATCAGACCAAACACAGGCCAAAAAAGTTGCTTTCTGAACTCCTCCAATAAATTCAGACGTACTCATCTATGCTGGTAGACCTAAGTATGACATGAATACCACTTTTGGTGCATAAAATATAGGCAAAAGTCAGATATCTAAGTTAGGTAGAAGTGATCTTTATCATTAGAAGAGGAACCTGTTGTTCAAGGATATATGATGAATGCCTATTGTGGCAAAAATATGTCTCAAGTATTGGTAAAGTTGGTTCTGTGGTCCACATGCCTGTTTACTCATTTTGAACTTGCTGCCTTTTTTAATTATATAAAGTTTATACATTATGGTTTCCTTCCACCCCTAGGGCTGACACGCCCTGCTGCAACCTTGATTTCTTCACCACATTTCTCCAGTCTTACATCCGTATATACACCTCCAAGATAAGAAAAAAACCAGATTTGCTTTATTGTCTCATCCTTCGGGAAAAGAGAAGGAAGAGAGAAGAATTTTTTGTGACCTCCAGCAGCAACACGCTCTCCCCTAGAACTTGTTTTTTCTATAACTAAATTCAACTCATAGTGTCCTTGCTATTAGAGGCCAATGAACTATTCTATACTGATACTCAAATGAAGTCAGTGTCAAATGCTGTACTGGACAACTGCCAGGGATGGCAAGTCCTTGTTTTCTTTGGAGAGTCCCATGTACAATTTCATTTATCAGTATTACAAAAGGTTTCTTCTGCAAGTAATGTTGGATTTCACAGATTCTCAAAAGGACAGCTTCTCCTGTAATAATGAGTAACCTGATTCAGTTTTATCCAGAACATCCTGAATGCACTCTTCTTTTTGCCTACTGCCTTTGTTCAGGCTTTACTTTTTTAATTAGTAATGTTTCTTTTATTTACAAGTATTGTTATCACTCTCTTCTGAGATATTTCGCTGGAATTTATCCTGAAAAAGTTCTACCAGTTTGTTCAAGTTCTTACCACCAATCTCCTCCTAAAAGGTGTTGACTTGAGCTGTGGTCTATATTTTTCTTTAGGCTTTAATATTTGAAAGAACTAAATAGAGCCCAGATGTCCTAGATGCTTTTTCTGATGTAGGTATTGCAAGACATCTCCTTCTTTCCCTACTCATCTCAGTCTTTGATATTTTCTCTTCATTAAGTATAGTGTATCAACCTTAATATCCACCTCCAGCAGTACTATTTAGCTCCTTTTTAAGTGCATAGTATTGAATTTTCTTCCTTTATCTACAGTGCATACTTATGTACTTTCTTCTAGGCATCTTTCTCCTTTTTAAAAATCACATAACTAATGGGTTATTTTTGTTTTCCCCGTTGGGCCTTCTGAGTCAGCATTAAGGTGCTCTTTTAGATTCATAATGGATCTTGACTTGAGTCGGAAGAAAAGAAGACTGGAAGAAAAATAACTCACTACTGCAACATTTTAGATAAGTCAGCTTTCTTCCCTGTGACCTCCTACAATACAACATGTCTCTACTTACTCATGTAGCCCTTTCTAGTAGACAATAAAAATAGTTTGGGATTTGTTAACTAATTGCACATGCTTGATGAAAAAATGAATGACCCTACCTACCATTATGTAAAAAGGAGAGGTACTAAAGAGTAGTTCTTTAAATCTCTGCCTTGATTACACAGCCTATTAGAAAAAGCAGCTATGAACTGACTTTTGGTTAAGATAACCAAGTACACAAAAATCTTCTCTTTGTATCCACAGTCAAAGATTTGTATTTACAGATAATAAAAAGCTCCACACAACAATCTGCAACAACTAAACTTGCTTTTTGGCCAGTAGAAAAGTAATTTATTTTTCTGATCCAGAGGAAAGAAGAAAGAATTAATGCAATCAAGACAGGTATCAGAACATCATCTAAAGTTCCAGGACGTCATTTTAGATCCTGGTAAATCATTCTTCAGATGCCACTGCATAAGAAGCATTTGATACTAATCTGTTTCTCTGACCTAAACCAGAATGCCAACAACGGTAGATGCCCCAATTTTCTGTCTGTTGGAGCAAATAAACATTGAATTGGTTTCGAGCAGTTCTCCAGTTTCAGGCAGTTGGGCAGCCCAATGCAAAATCACAAAAGTAGGTAAACACAATAGATTGATGCTGAGGACGTTTAGGGTGAGTGAGATCTTCTAGTTTGTACATGAGGCAGCCAGGTAAATTAATAAGGGAAACTGACAATCATTTATACATGTCAGCATCAGCAGGCATCTCAGCAAAACTGTCGGTGAGAGGTTAAAGCTCATCTGCCACTGGGACAACCAGAAGCCAAGCTAAAATTATTCATTTTCAGACACTGTTTAGGTACTTTGTTCACTGTGGAGGCAAAAGACCTTCTTTTTCTTCTTCTTTTTAATTTTTTTTTTTTTCTGGAGGCAGAAGCAATAAATCACCCAGGTTAAGAAGACCCAGCTAGCCCAACATAGATCGATTTCATGGGTAAGTCGATGGACTACTAATAGAATTACAACTACCTGTCAAAATAGGGAAAACCTATCTGTGACAGTGACAAAGGGCAAATCAATTGAAGAAGTGTTGTGGGCTCTCTTTACTTTTTTTTTTTTTGAGACATGGATGCAAAGTACAAGTGTGTCTTTCGAAGTCTACAACTGTGACGAAGAGCAATGTTTATCCCTTTATGGGAGCCATCAGTCCTGCAATACTGAATTATGTGGTCACTTTATTTCTACTGCAATCACTAGATTACTCCCATGAAACAATGCTAAAGAGCTGCATCCAAAGCTATTTGAGCAGTTTCTCATGTATTATGAAAGCTATTTAAACAGGTTTTATTAACAGCTGTTATAATGTTCTCCAGGTGAAAAACCTTGGCACATTTTGTTTACCACAAACTGGTGTTTTTTTTCAATTAAGCACGTGAGTTTTCCAGTTTGAGGTGATTTTTAGTGTTTGTACAGCTTAAGCAGAAAATGAGTTACAACAATGTTGTTGGCTCAGAAATGGTGTTATAATTTGCTGTAATTAGATAAAAATTGAGTAAATGAAGAGTAGAAAGTTGCTGCAACACAACTCTACTGCCTGTATAGCATATATATAATATCTTACTTTGGTACTTTACCTATCTATGTTAGAGATTAAAAAAGTTATATGTAGTTGGAAATGTAACTACAGTGTATACATATTGATGCAACAGTTTGTGATGGCTCTGCAGATATCATGGTTGAATACTGAAGTTGTGAGATATTTACCGAGTCATGCCAGCACAGGCTTCTGCTCTGCTGGTAAAGCTCCAAAACAATGAAAAAATAGCACAGGAAAATAAGTAGGGTGGCAGTCCTTATTATCCTCTCACTGCAGACATTCCTGGGTCTAAAGCTACCTCTGACTTTCTATGGAGAAGTCCACATATTTTTATGAACTTTGTATACATGAGCGAATGACAGCTTGGAATAAAACTGTAATCAAAATTAATTATCTGGGAGTCTTATCCCATTGCTTGGGTATATAAACTGAAGAGGTATAAGTCGTGGTTTCATTTCTTAGTGTATACCAGTTTTGACAAAGATCGGGTGCCAGAAAACTGTACTGCCAAAATCAAATAAAACAAACAGTTGCATTCTCCAAAATTCATTCATATAGTTTCTTTCAAATATATGTGTATGTATACACATGCTGACTAAACCGGGAAAGCTTCCTTGAAGTCAATTGAATTTGCATTTAAATAGATGATAAAACTTCCATTGACTCCCAATGAGGGCAGGATTTCATGCAGTGCAATTAAACCAGACTGTAAGAGGAGTCAGGGTTAAAATTCTCAGACCTGAATATATTACTTTTCTTACATTTCTTTGCTAGCTTTACCTATATAAAATCAATGCCCAGCTGTGCCCTTTATCATAGGCTGCAGCTTCTATCGACTTTGTTGGGTCCTTCAAGCTTCCATGAGTATGGCAACAGTGTCTCTGGAGGCAGAACTGTGTTTTAAATTCTTTGGAGCAAGGAATAAATCATAACATTAATCTTTTTGTAGAGCATTCTATGCATTTTTAACACTGTGATTTTTAATAGATAGTAATAATAGCAATTTTGAAGTACCCTGCAGATTCTAGTAAAGGACTTTTCTTCAGAAACACTATCCCCTGCTGCTATTTTGCAAATCTTCTAATTCATTACCACATGGAGTGTCCTATGTGTGCAACATTTTTTTACTTCAAAACAGATAAATCCATATATTTTACCAACAAAGTTTCCCTGACAGCATGTTACCATTTCTTCTGTGTGGGACTACAGCTACTTTAAATCATTTCCAAATAATGTTAGTGGATAATTCAAAGATACTGAATAAGTAATTTATTTAAATTAAGCATTTAGATTAACCATCTGTATTTCTAAGCTTATAGATGCATACTAAGCTAGAACATTTTTCCTGAATAGTGTCTTCATGATATGGCTTATTCAGCGAGTCACAGAATTCCTCAGAAAGCCCCATCATCCTTAAGTTATATAGATGTGAGAAGTGTCTTCCCATGCCCAGCATGACATGGCTGTAGATCTTTGTGCTGTACAGACCTCAGGAGCCCAGCGGACAGCGACTGGACTGGTGGTTCACAGCTCCTATGGCAGGGCAAACAATGGGGAAGCTGTTGCTGAAGCTCTCAGAACAAATGGTATGAAGTTAGATCCAAGCACTGAGTGATGACAGTGAGTGTCTGTCTGCCATAGACCATGGCTCTTTCTGGAACCTCACTCACTTCAAAAGTGGGAAAACTCCAGGAAAGAAGGCAGATGGTCCATTAGTTTCAAACATATATATAAAAAACTAGGTAGCCAAAAGGGGTTTAACAACAGTTTTGTATTGAAACTTGGAAAAGAGCAAGTAATTAGGGCTTTGTCATCATGGCTTCAGAGTGCATCTGGTTTATGCAGCCCAATTTACATTGCATGTGTTACTTCAACTTTGATCTATGTTTTATAAATTAAGGCTTAAAACTCAAATCCTTTCATGGGAGAGTTGCCATGAACTTTTAATGTCTCACAAATAAGAAAGATTGAAGGACAGTTTGTCTCTCTAGAAGTGCCAGAAAATGTAGTTTTACATGTCTGAGGAAAATTATTAGGGAAATAGGTTATCGAAACACTGAATCCTAAAGTATTAGCACAACAAATACCCTGCCACCATGGGTCTGTGCCTCAAAAACTTGGCATCTTTGTGCAGGATTGTACCTGGGAGAGAAAGCTGCTGGGCATAGAATGTGTAAGCACTGCCTTCTGCTCAGTGTTCAATCACTCTTGTGGTTGTGTTTGGCCCATTTTTATAAACTATGTGTTTTAATAGACATTATGAACACTTGACTAACAAAGGTATTCACTTTTATTAAATAGAATTTCAGTGAAATATGTCTTGAGAGGATATATGACCCTTTTAGGACAGGAACAACTATTAGTTACTATAGAAGCCTAGAAAATATTTGTTCAGTGCTCTCTTAAGCACGTAGCCTGAATGCCTCACAAACACAGTGTCACCATTATAAATTAAGCAGAGACAAAGTGCCTGACTATCTTCTATTGTTCTGGTTTGATACACAAAGTCCTGTGAATCTCAGGGCTTTTCAGTAGCATCAAGTCAGCACAACACAGTGGAAAATCAGGTTGGAGGGGTATTCCTGGTATTTATTAGCCCTTTTGAGAAGAGGTCATGCTTCTACTCCTTTGGAGGATTGTGCTTACTAGATCAAGTTTTAAAAACACCAATATTTTAATGTTTTGATTTAGCATGTATAGAATATACTGAAAATATACTAAAATACCAAGGGTAAAAAGCCTGGAATCAGCTTTTAAAAGACATCTTTGGAGGCTATTGCACCATTCAAGTCTCTGAGATATTCAGCACTTGAAGTGTAGTTCTGACCAGAACTGCAGATTTGCACTGCATTTTGAAGGAGCTGAAGAGCTCTGTGTCTCCTCTATGTCAGCATTTGGCAGATGATCTAAAATGACACTAAGCACTAAATAATATCAAGTATATCTGAAGGATTTTAGGCATCTTATCTGCATACTCAGTTTTTTTTGGTCATTTCATTGCAATTTTCAGATGAAAATGAAATTAAAGACAAAACGAGGAAAGCATTATTTTTTTTACTACATTTTTCAGTTGTAGTGCTACTTAGGGAAAAAAAAACCCCGCCACCTCATTCCACTGAAACAAAATTTAAAACAAGAAAAAAAGTATCTACATTTGAGCAAAATTAAAGTCCCCCCAAAAAAACTCCAAAACAAGGCAAAGTCATTCCAATTTATGTAGTTTAAGGTCTACTCACAATATGGAGAATTATTTTCTGCAAGATTTTTACTCTAATTCATTAATTTCTTCATAGACTTATAAACTGCATTAACTCTCCTGTGGAAAAATCAGCACTGTTAAGTAGCTCATGAGCAGATGTGATACAAGAAAGCCTTTGGATTTTTTTTTTAAACTAAAAGAGTAATGACACCGCAATATCATGTGGTGAAGGAGCAATAATTTGATAAACATTGTCTTTCCATTAGATTAGAACAATTAATCTGATTCTAATTTAGCTGAAACATTACCATACTGGAATCCCTAGAGCCCGATGAATAATCTCTAAACACATTGACACACTCAGCAGACAAACATTATCTCCACTCATACTGTTGTTCCATATGGTCTCCTCCCATTCTGATGGAGGGCACCCTGCTGTTTCAATCAAATAAATGTCAATTATCTGAGATAGATTTTTTACTTCACAGCAACAGTGGCTGTGGAACAATTGTCTGCAGTTCTTCCCTGATTGCTGCTGCCTCATTTTTCAGCTGCAGACCTTGCTGGATTGCAAAGCAAACTTTGCTGCATCATACACATTTTCAAAGTCTCTCTCTTGAAAACTGTAGGCACAGAAAATCATTTGTACCTGGGGAGAAAGCAACAAAACATAGAAGAAATGGCAGAAGGGTTTGCCAGGTAGACTTCTTTACCCTATTAGTTGGGATGGTCTTTATTGCCTTTTCAATTTGTTGATCTAGCAGGGTGCCAAAACTCTATGTGACTGAAGGCTTCTTAGAAGATTTGATAGAATCTTACTCTTCTAAGGCAATATCTCACAAGCCTTTTGCTTCAGGGGGTTCTGGGCGCGCTCACCACATCTCATGGGCTGTCTTACACTTTTATTTGAAAAGACTATAAAAGAAGACAGGCTGAAAACTTCAAGCCCTTGCAAGCCACAGTTTTGACCACTGCTACAAGGTTCAAAGCTCATCCAGAATATCTCTTTGGTATGGTGGGGCAGATTTAGATTAGATATTAGGAAGAAATTCTTTACTGTGAGGGTGGTGAGGCACTGGAACAGGTTGCCCAGAGAAGTTGTAAATGCCCCATCCCTGGAAGTGCTCAAGGCCAGGTTGGATAGGGATCTGAACAAGCTGTTTGAGTGGGAGGTGTCCCTGTCCATGGCAGGAGTGTT